GTCATCGACGTCTATTGCGTACTACGTCATAAAAATATTTTGTCGAATCTCTTGGCTTTATTATACTATATTATACTTACTATTATTATTATATGTATATAATATTAACTCGGGCGTCGTAAGGTTATCGATTTGCAATCGTAGAATTTCGTTAATTATAAAATAACAAATTTTAATTCGATTTACAGACTTTCCCCTCTCCTCATATCCTGCTGTCGTAGGTCGTAGACTTACAGGTGAATCGCGTTCGCATTAAACGTAAATCGTAATATTCATCTATAATGGATGCTGGGCTGCTGCACCGCGTGTTTTCTTCACACACACACACACAATGCTTGACCTTTCACTGGGATCGCCCCGAACAATGGGCAACCGGTTTGTTCACGGCCGACGATTCGCTCTTTGTTTTGTCCTCGGCAACTACGGCGACGACGAAGACTTGTGTGTGCGTGTGTGAGCTGCTCTCCCGAAGAAATCGCGCCGTAGCCGTATATTATGTATTTATATACGTTTTCCACCCACTAATTGACACACTCCGTCGCCGTCTCCGGCGCACATACGTTTACTACATTCAACATTGTTGCCAACATCTCCGTCGCTGTTCGATCGCATTTTACCCGACGCCGTCTGCCTGTTTCGAAAATGAACCCACTTCTCCTCTCTGTGCCTCTACATACAGGATGTTCAGAAGCAAAGGGGAGGTGGCAACGGGGCAATTTTACCCCAGTTCCCATTTTAAGACAATTTCTAAGGGCCACTAAAAAATGACAGTGTTGATTAAAGGTACGGTTTCGTTTCTGCAGTTGACTGCAGCAGTGACTGCATGCAGTCGCTGCTGCGACGACTGCACGCAGTGTATGTACATGAACTTATGGAGCCGGTTTCGTTCATGCGACTGACGCACGAGCCGCATGCGGTCGACTGCAGCGACTGGTGCTAGGACCAGTCAATGCAGTCGACTGCAGCGACCGTCTATAATATTTCTCCCACCTCTATAGCCGTAAAAATGGGGAAGTGGGGCAAGTACCCTAGTGCGTCCAAATTATTATGAATTTAGGGGGTGTCATAAAAAAATAATTTGGTTTGCATTTTTTAAAAATCACATCTCAAAAATTATATCCAGCAATCAGCGTCGTTTAAATCTATAGATCCAAAATTAAATCAACTTGGTACATAATATATACATAAATATATATTGTAGGTCCATATTTTCGAAATTCACAATACTTTTCCAAAATTAGCAAAAAACTACTGAAATGTAGACAACTTCACACAGTAATTAATATTTTTAAATTGTATTCACCTCATACAGTCATACACATTGAAATTGTCTTAGAAAATAAAATCTATTAATGGTAAAACTATAATGTTAAAATATGAAAGTATAGGATATTTTAGCTACTATAGCCTATTATATGTATCAATATTAAATTTGAATGTATTTTGACTTGAAAATTGTACAAATCCTTTTAATGATATATTATAACTTTTTGTATTGTTTTGTGAAAATAAAAAAATAAACATTTTCTGCATAAATTACTTAACAATGAAATAGATTGTGGTCCTTTATAAGAAAACTTTAATTTTAAAATTAATATTGCTAAAACTAGAAACAATCACTTATTTATCTTAAAAAATATTAAAACCAATTATTTTCTAGATTCTCCTACAAACATACTCATGTCAATTGGTAATTACTAATGCTATACATATAAGACCTATTGGCTATTTTTCTGTAACATAAATAATATTAAAAACATGTATAAATTAGTTTAATCGCATTATCTAATACCAATTGGGAGTGTGGCAATATTGTGAATTTGTATTATTATATTATTCTAATTTTGTTTCTTGAATTTATTTTACTTTAACTATATGTATCTTATTGCATACGGTCATACGGAGTATATTATAATAGTTCTACACGTTTCTAGTAGAGGGAATCCGATATTCTAAATTTATAAAAGGTACCAACTGCCTGTACTGAAATAGAATGTTAATAATATCGTTGAACAAAAATTATAAGATATTGGCCAACAAGGTAGGTAACTACTAACTACCTGTTGTTTTTACTTTTAATAATATCTTCGGAAATAAATACTTATTAGAGGAGTTTACGAAAATTAATAACTTATAAAATGTAAAAATATCCGGTCTATGCTTATAATTCATGACAAATAGTATTGGTGGGAAGCGGAAATTTCCGGACGAGTCTTTATCGTTATACTCGTAGAGGTAGAACGTTGTCGTTTTCATTTTATTATTAATTAATAATTATTAAGTAATAAAAATGAATTTTTCGCGAGATGATGAATCTAAGTTATGCGAGCTTGTATCAAATCATCCAGCATTGTACGACCATGGCTTAACAGATTTTAAAGACGCTACGCTGAAGGACAATATATGGAAGGAGATTGCGAGTTCATTTATTGGAAAAACTGGTAAGTGTTGTACTACTATAGTTATTATATTGGCATATTTTAACTTATATTATTTAAATTTTTTATACATTTAAGTATTTAATACAAGGTTTTTTATAATTAGATGATACAATTAAATTTAAAATAATTACAATTAGATAGGTAATAAGAAATGGAATTCAAATAAAAAAGGGGGTGAAATGGGTGACGCTCTAATGTTTAGTAGTCGAGTACTCGAGTGGATTAAATTTGCATTCAATGATTGCAACAAACGAGTTAAATAAAAATAACCTATTATCTAGGTATCTTATAATTTAATTTTTAATTAGATGCTCAACAATGTCTTTTTAAAATACAACATTTGAAGGCATGTATTTTAAATACTAAAATGCATAGCTATACCAAAAAAGGTTTTAAAATTAAAAAAAATCGTGAACATATAATATCAAAATATCTACAAAATCTCAAAACTCTATAAATTTAAATGAATCTAAAATCGTGATGACATACTTAAACGTATGACAAAAATTGTGAAAGTTATATGGTTAGTAAATAATTTTATAAGTTTACCCTGCATGTAAGGAAATTCCCAAAATTAATATTATAGATTCTGAGTGGAACGATGAATGTATCGATTTTACAATGATGTGTGTTTTTAAATTTTTATTTTTTTTGGTGTCTGTCATCACCTTTTAGGACAGTAAAAGTGCTTGGATTTTCTTCAACAGTATATTTTCTGATTGGAAAATGAATTTAGTTGGTACTTTCAAAATTTAAATTTACCAGTACTTTTCACAAGCGCCGAGAAAAACAACATAAAAATTAAGGAAAAACGGGAATTTTTACGCAAAATCGGTTTTCCAAAAAATCGATTTTGGTTTTTGATGTAACTGTAAAACAAATGAATGTATATACATGAAATTTTCACTGGTTGTTTATATTTGCATAACATTTTCCAAATATTTTGACTTATTTCGAGGTCTTTACGGACATTGTCAGTTTTCATTTTTATTTAGTTTTTTTTTCTAAAAATATCAATTAAATTTTATTTGTTGGTTATAAAGCTTGAACATTTTATAGAATGCTCCTAGTATATTGTTTCAAAGGCAGATGAAAAATATTAAAAATCCTTAGTCACAGTTTTTTTTTATAAGCATTTAAAGTTCAAAAATTGACAAAATATGGAAAAATCACGAAAATTAGCATATTATTTTGAGTTAAGAATTCGTAAAAATTTTTCTTTTTAAATCTAATCTTTTAAAATGTATTTCTTATACCTAGAGTGACTACCATCATCTCCACTCAGAATCGTTTTTCTTATACAATGATATTATATCATTGAAGTCAAATTTAATACCATCCATTATACAGTGACCCACTTGTAACCTACTGTACAGCAGAGCGACATCCACTTGCCCACATTTTTTATATCTATTTTGATCAAATAAAGGTATCAAATTGCGTATAAAATAAACCTCACGAAATACGTAATATAACAATATTAATGTAGGTATTCCTTGTTATATATTTTTTTTTATTTATATAGACGAAGATTGTAAAAAGAGATGGCGATCTATAAGAGACCATTACAAGCGTCTTAAAAGAGAAGGGAAATTAGGAACCGGGTCTGCGGCTCGCAGAACAAAGATTTGGCCCCTGCTTACCAATTTATCATTTCTTACCCATGTTTCGGAAGAAAGAAGGTCAGTATAAAAATAAATGTAATTTAAAAGTATTGGGAAAAAATTATATTTAATTAGAGTATTATATATTACTATAATATTAAATTAATTTTTAATTTTTTACAGATCTTTATCTAATATTCCTGATATAGACCAAGAAGATGAAGACATAAATATTACTGATAACGATGATGATACTGTAACTGAGAATCAAAATATTATGGAATTGAGCACCTCTTATAACGACGATTCTCAACAAATAGTACATTCGCCTCCTACAAGTGTAACTTCTAAAAAAAAAAAAACAAAATTTGATAAAGTTTCTGATTTATTAATTCAGAATAAAAATGCAAGACTGAAGCTAATTGAGACATTAAACAACAAGAAGATGTATGGCGAGGAAGATGATGTAGACGCTTTTTACAAAAGCATAGCAATTTCAGTTAAACGTCTACCGCCATTATTAAGAGCGGAAGCCAAGATGCAACATCTTCAAATATTAAATAACCTTGAAATGAAAAATGCTCAAAATGAACATCAACAGCTAGCTTATCCTCAACCTCCAAGACCGATAGATAACACAACCATTCAGACATTTAATCCATCTTCTTTTGAAAGTTATCCACCAGCTCACCAAAAACAAGGATATTATCAATTATAAGCATAAAAATATTCTAACATTTTTATTTTACTTAAAAAAAGTGCTTTTGTCAATATTTTTATTTATAATACTCAACTTTGTATTTATTATAATAAACTCCAGATACCAGTATGATGAAGTATATTATGTTACAATTTAAAAGGTAATACAATATAAATACATTGGTAATAATAAGTAATAATAAATACAAACAATTACAAGGTAATAAGTATAATTATTATTTATTATATAATCACATTAGATTCTCGAAACTACATGGTTCTGCCAATTCACTTTGCCTTCTCCGTTGAAGAAACATTTGAAGGCATCTCGTACTTCAAAACCTTCCACGTTTCCATATCCTCCAAATCTTGCCAATGGTCGCATAGTTGTTTGCGTGTTGGTTAATTCTTCATGTACGATTTGTGTATTTATTTCTTCGTATCCATCGCGAATTAAATTATGCAAGCAACATGTGGCTGTAATTAATAAATCGCATGTTTCTGGTTTAATTGCGATCGGTGTATAAAATACTCTAAAAATTTGGCTTAACAAACCAAATGCATTTTCAGAAACTCTCCTAGCACGAGATAAACGATAATTAAAAACACTTTTTTCGAAATCGGCTTTAGCTTGTGCTCTATTAAAAGGTTTCATAATACGTTTATGTAACCTGAATGCCTCATCTCCAACTATAACATAGGGTAAACATTTGTCAGAACCAGGAAGTTGAATATCCTCAGAAGGTAACCCAAATTTCTCTGTATAGATCCGTTGTCCCATGACAGATTTTGAAAAAATACCACTGTCACCCTCTTTGCCATAAGACCCGACGTCTATTGCTAAAAATTTATACTTAGCGTCAACAATCGCTAACAACACAACAGAAAAATAATTTTTGTAGTTGAAGTAGAGGGATCCCGTTTGGTCTGGACACATAACACGTACATGTTTCCCGTCTATGGCTCCAACACAGTTTGGAAAATTCCACCTCTCCCAAAATTCTGATGCTCGTGTTTTAAAATCATTTTCAGTTGGTGGTGGTAAAAGAATAGGCATAAGATTTTCACATATAGCTAGTAATACTTCTTTTACAATATTTGATATTTCGCAATGTGAAATTCGAAAATTGAAAGCCAATGATCTATACGATTCGCCAGTTGCCAAGTACCTAAAAATTAATTAATTTGTGTTCATTTTTATATTCTTTATAACTATAATTAAACTGCATAATCATTTATTTTTATAATTTAATAAATAATATGTGTACCTAATTCAATCTTATATAATAATAATATACAATTTACTAAAAATACATAACATTATTGTACAATTGGCATTAAATTATTTTTAGTAAGTATATATATAATAAGTATTATACTTTATACTTTATACGATTTATCATAAAAATAATATTGCCACATTTTTCATTGTTATTTTTAGTAGGTATATTGGTATTTTAATAAAAGTCTCTTAAATTTAAAAAAAAACTAAAAAGTTTAACATTTTAATAATATGTGTTATTATTTTATCAATATATTTTATTGATAATTACTAACCTTAATGTCACAGCTAGTTTTTCCTTCGGTGTTATTGGACATTTAACCGTGGTTGTAGGCGCTTTAAATACGTCCTTTGCAATAGCAGATAATACAAAATCAAATTGATATTTGGTTAATCTAAAATAGTTATGAAATTTGGTTTCATCATCAATCAGATGTTTGGAAATAAGGTTTTGAAACGCCCCTTCCTCTCGCCTGGATATAAACATATCATGTACTTTTTGTCTTTTGCTGTTTTTTAAGAACAGTAAACTTATAATTTGTTCATCGCGTTCTTCTTCTTCAATTAAATGTTGAACAACCAAGGATGTCACGTCTTCCATGGTGGATAGTTGGTGACGTACTAAACTAATCTATATGAATGTTTAAAATATTTGACTGCCTGCAGTTGACTGCAAAAACAAAAACAGTTCTGCTGCATGCGACGATCAACTGCGGAAACGAAACCGTAGCTTAAACAATAATAATATAATACACGATTAGGATTATTCGGCGTTGCCCATGATTGGTCATTATAGGGCAGCACCATCGATACAAATGTTTTATTTTATATGAATTACAATAATGCAATTTTATTTCTTTCATGCAATTTGTAATTGCAGTTTATACTCAATTATACAGACAGGCTACGTGATCCTAAACAGTGGTTGAATAGAGAAACATTTGAACGGGGATGCAAAAGCGTAAAAATAATGTGAGCACCTGAATGTTAAAAGGCTTTATTGATTAGAATATAATTAGAAAGGACAGGTACCTACCCATAAATATTTTTTAAAAAGAAGAACTGCGTCCCCGCACACCCCCTAAGTTCAAGTACTGAATTCTAAAATGTTATTAATTATCATTTATTATTGTTGCTATTTCAGAATATAAAGATTAATGATAAAAATATTCAAATTTGTTCGTAGAAATTTGTTATTATTGTAAGTAACGGCGTAGTATAGAAAATTCGAACGATGACTATATTATATAGTTATTACTTATTACACATGTTAAATATTTCTGTTATTACTTTTTACTCATTATTGAGTGTCGTACAGTAGACAGCTAATTTAGTTGCCAGAGTGTTGTTAGACCTTATAACTATATAATTTACATTAAGACCGATGTCGTGAGTACAAATTAATTTGGTCGGTCAAATTTGCTAACATTTTTCGAATCTCTGTGACTATATTAAATGTGTACTATCATAATATCGTGTTGTTATGATTCGGGGGCCCCCGCATTAATTTTGCCCCTAATCCTGAAAAACTCTGGCATGGTTCCGGCTATTGGTATTAAGTTAGTATTAATAGTCATATCCATTGCAACGACCCGGTGGTTGGAGCCTCGGACTTGCTTTGTATAATTTTGTATACTTAGGATGCGCACGCCTGGTCGTACCTATTTGAGACCAGATGGTCATATTATTATCGTTTTCGTCGTCCGTGCTCCGCAGCCAGCAGTGGGGTTTATTTACGTGTGTAAATGTGTAATTCCCGAGGAAAATAATTACGTGTATTCTCGGCAGTGTTTATACTATACATAATAATACCTAAGTATACCTAGCCACGTAGATGTTATATTCCATGTTCACTGTAGAACGGTCCGTGAAAAAAATCCCGTGTCGGACGGAGATCTATTGATTTTGTATTCGGATCGATCGAATATCGTCGTCGTGAAACGCTCGCAGCGGTCGATTAAATCCAGCTGTGAACATCTTGTATCCTGTACACGAATTTGTTTTGACCCGCACGAATATAATATAATATGCGCGACGGCGTGTTCACTGAAGTCTCTAGTGATGTACATAATACGTCATAATATAGACATAGAATAGTTAAGATTATATATATTATATATATATATATATATATATATATACTTACTACAGTCTTAATACGGTATGTGTATTGTGTACATACTTGAAATCGTTTTTGTTGCAAAACTTTTTTGGGTGGACATGATTTTGATTATGATTTTTCTCGGTCGCCCCTCGCGTGTAGAGTTTTGACCATAAATCATTTCCCATATCATCTATACATGTATAACAATTTGTTATGAGTCTTATATTTTTTGGAATCACTCCAGATATTTATTTGATACTCGCAGAGTTTCCGTTCATAAAAGTCTTAAAGGGTCCATATAACATTTTTTTTTTTAAAGAAACTTTCCACTTTTTTTTCCGAAGAAAAGTAACCAACCACCGACGACGACAAAACTTTGACCCACGCTAATAGTAAAAAATTGACAAAACTTGTACAAAAATCGTCGTTCTAAAATATATTTTTCGTCAGCACGTGACGCTTTGTAAATTATTCTTGACTCCTATACTGACAGTATTAGTATGTTATCGAATGTTTCAAAAATACCAGCGTCCAGCGAAGTATAGTTGTGGTGCGCGTATAGAGTTGTATACGGAGGCCCGCTAATTGGAAAATAATTACCAACTTCATACATTAGTAAAGGACACAAATTTTTCTTTTATGGAATCTAACTATTGACATTCAGTTTCAAGAACGTTAATTGTGCGTTATTTTTCTGTTAGAATAAATATGTTGGATTAAAAAAACACTACTTACTTACTACTTACTTTGAATTGTTTTTTGTTACCACATTATTAATACATAATATATATTATAGGTAGGCATATAGATATTACTGTACTATATACGTCTATAATACTACAATTTCCACTCAAAAATTGAAAAACTAGTTTACAGCGAAACTCGTTTTCAACTTAAAATAAATTCTTAATAGATAAGACCCTTGGGTTATATCCGGTAGTTAATCGTATAAAATACAATATCGTGTGTAAGTACATAAGATAATTTTGAGTATAGATGATTTATTTTTGAGGCTATAACATAATGTATGATTATAAAACTACTGTGGGTTAAAGCGTTACAACATTCTGTGGTTTGTTAGAACCCTCGTGCGTTTATACATGGTTACTAGCAAGTACCTGTCTTGTGTAATATGTCTTTTTACTGCCTATGCGCAGATCCATTATACTTGAACGCAAAATTAAACTGTATAGTGTATATACCCATAACTCACTATTACTTGCAGTGATTCGTGCAACTTCAGTTAGTGCCTGCACGTATACCTATGGGTAAACTTTCCCCGGTTCGTTCTGATATGCCACAAACGAAGCGCTTAACCCGACACCGCATAGCTGGCGGTTTACCGGGTAAAAAAATGTATTCGGCTTATCAGGCTCGAGGGTCGCAAAGTTTACGGCTTCCTGCTTTCATTGTATACAAAACAGTATAACTCACCTGCAGCGTGTCGCGCAGGTGGTGTTCCTGCTAATAGAAATTATTATTCGGCACAAAATCGATATTTCCGCTTTATCTTCGCCGCTAAACATGTATAATAGATTATGCCTGTGTGTGTGTGTGTGTACGTGCCATACCGCGCCGCAACCGAAATCTTATATCCGTTGTACAACTACCGGGCTTTTGGACGGATATCCCTGCAGTCCCAAGAAACGTAATAATAATAATGAATAATGATAACAGGCAGTTCGTCCTCAGCAACCCCAAGACCGTGGTTACGTTTTGACCGACGCGCCGCGTGTGTCGCCCTGTGGTGTACTCATCATACACTATACTTCGGCTCAACGCGGGCTTGGCCCGACATTACTACAGTTACATATACGTACACAATATGCACTTTTTATTCATTGACCTAAGTACAAATGATGGTGTCTAGAGACTTCGGACTGGTGTTTCCGTCACAGTTTTGGTTTAAATGCTCGTATTTCGATGTTCATCGTTCGCGAACAAAAAGACGTTTACTGGAATTGTATTTTGATGCACGTGTCCATTATAATTTTATTATAATATCCAAGTCGTTTAGGACTTTAGGAAGTATACTCGTATGCTATTGCTATGTACACACATACATATTTTATAATCTCGGTTACGCCTTAGTGTAAATATTACCAATCGCGCTGCACTTTAAATGTACAATATATAATCATACTACCCGTTGACTTTTTTCCGTTTATGAATTATTATATTATATGTAATAACTAATAAGATTTGTTTCCGTTGGAAGTCGTAAATACAAAATTTTATATTCATCGAATATTGCAGCGTTGTTTTTTATGAATATTTATCGAATCGTTTAAAAATAAACTTTAAATTCGATTATACACGGATATAAAATAATTTTAATGCCGTTATAAAATAAATCGCCGAATCGCGCACGTCAACCTTAGAAAACCGACGTGACCCCCCCCCCCCCCACACACACACACTTTTGGAAAGACTAATTCAGAACGGTGATTTAGAAACGTCGGACTGCAGACTTGCGTTATTATAGCGTCGAATAAAAACTTAAACTCTCGACTGTATGTGTTGCGCTTTACGTGTGGCGTCCTCGTGATATAAGTCTCGGCCGAGTATTAATTAGGCGATTGCAGCGGACGCTGTAGAACACGTCGAATTTAATTGACATGTTGTGACTCTTTGGTTTTCGCATCTGTCCGGACGTGGCGCTATATAATTACAATGGAAGTTTCCTCCTCGTATACAGTGACAGAGACACGACCTGTGTGTTTCGACGACCACATCGTCTTGTGTTTAATCGTATACAGCGTGTCCACAAGGGTACACTGTATAACTCGGTTGCTTGTATTACGCAGTACCCTTAACATATTTTTGAATTCTGTTTGGAGGACATGAGACTAAAATATTGGACCATAAATCCTTATTGTTTACAATGTTTTAACTCTGGTATTTTGCGCATGCGCAGCAACTTCAATTTTTCTGTGTACCCTGTTTTCGTGGTGTATTCAATGTTGTTGCAGTCGCCGAATACACAGCATAATATTTCCGGCACTCTTGAATGCTAGTGAAATGTAGATATTTATTCGTTTCAAAACCGATTTCTATGTTAATACCACCGCGCGGCTAATTGAAAGTATATTTTCCGTGTATCGTTGTTTTGTGCCTCGCACACACGACAGACCTAAATTTATATATTATATGTTCCAATTCTCATTCACTTACAACTTACTATATTGGCTTACACGAGGAAAAACTCAGCGTGTATCGATATCCAGTGTGCTACCCGTTATACATAACTTATCGGTTACGTATACATTGTATTGTGGTGTGTGTGGTACCTACGGGTTGGTGTCGAGGAAAAACAAACGGATTAAATATGTATACAAGGGCGGTGGCTCTTGTGGGTAGAATGGGAATTCAATTCAGGCCTGGGAATCCGGAATTCTTTCGAGGTCATTTAATATGCTCTCGAAAGATAATCGGTTTTTCCTCCTTGTTGTGGAGCCAAGTATAAAATCTATAATTCTGGGGATAGTCCCAATGGA